CTTGCATCTTTTCAGGATGGAGAAGTGGACCTTTCAAGCTTTAGACAGCAAGATCTCTCTCTCTCTATTTTCTCCTAACGTGGCTGAGTGAAAGGGCAAACAGAAATTTGAAAGCGATGATTGCTTCCTTTGTGGGGGAGAAGGATACCCACTGAGTTGAGAACATATATGAATTCTGATTTGCAATCATTTCCACTATTTATGAGGTCACTGGACTTACTCCTGCTGAGTCCAATTTACAAAGAGCTTTGGGTGGATCAGGGAAGAAAATATTAGAATCCTGTTGGCTTGGTGATGGCCAGAGGACTATGCTAGGAATGTATCAATGAACTGTGAGGACACAGAATCCTCAACATCAGCTCTGACATGCTGCTTTCTAACAGTCGGGACAACCTATCGCCCCAAAGAAGCTGTTGGTACCAGGTGCACCACCTCTGTGATTTGGCTACCTACCCCAAGAAACAGATGGGCCAATTTCTCAAATACAACACTCACTGGACAAGACCTAAGAGGACTACATTAAGTGAGAGTCTTTGTTACACCATCATCACCTCTCATTCATCGTTGCTGTCTCTGCCTCTGGAGTTCTATTTCCCCAAATTCAATATGCCTCCAAATATCCCCTAGGGGTAATATGGCAGCATATACCTCCTCCTCACTCAGCCCAGCCCTATCAACTACCTGTTACTATCTCATAAACAATGTCACCACCACATAGTCACTCAAGCCAGCTAGTCCCACCCACCAAATACTTTTCCAATATGGTCTTTCTTCTCCATCTTCACTCTCCTGGATGAAAGCAACTGTCTCCCAGTTAGGAGTTGTGACAAAGAAAATGCCACCCTCCCACCAACGACACTGCCCCCATAAGGCATCAGCCCAGAAGCACTCCCCTGCTCCAACCTTTCCGTGGCTCCCTATTGCTCTTTGGAAGGGCCCCGAAGTCTTCCCCTTTGGGTAGACAGGCTTCTTCTCAGGTTGTCCTCTGGTACGATTTCTAGATCATTCTATCCATCTCCCCACTCACCCTGTGCCTCTCTTCCAGCCCTCTTGACTTTGCTTTGATGTTTCACTTTCTCTTTCTTGCTGCTTGCTGTTGTCTCCTCTTCCAAATCCTTCCCACCTTTGCCCATCCCCCACAGGCTTATCACACCTGTCTGCCTAACACTGCCATCAGCTCATGGAGAAACCTTATTAGGACTCCCAGGTCGGTGCAGAAGCTGCTCTTCTGCAATCCTCCCTCCCCAGAGCCTACCCCCATGACAGCACCTGAGCAGTGGGGTCCTCCGTGGCCTGACCCCCACTGTCCTCTCACCCCCTAACATGAGAACTCCTTGAGGTCAGAAACACTGTGGTTTTGGTTCTCTGGTCCCCCGACATGACATTCAGTGAAGAAGTGCCCAGGGAATGCTGAATAAGTATACAAATTAATAAATACAATGAGTGGAAATGTAAAACCCTCTTCAGGCAGGATTATCTGTCAGGGGTCGGAGAGAGGGAGCCCTAAGATTCTCATCTCGGCAAGCGACTGCTCAGAAAAATCAAACAACCTGGGCAGAGTCGCCATGCGCCCAAGAGATATAGACTATCAAACAAGTAGGACGCATTCGCTCAGCCCCCAAACCAAACACCCCCATCACGCTTCAAGTACACGCTTTGAAAGAGACGCTAGGAAAACACAAAGCAGATGTCTCGGATACCATAGTCAAACAGGATGCACCCAGAGGGGAAAACAAAATCCTTCTGGAAACTTCTGTTCCCATTGCTCAGTGCTGAGGATCTGAGCCGCCTACAAACCAGCCTATGAAGGGAGGTTCAGGTTTCACTGTTTGTTTATTGTTGTTGTTTCTAGTGATCCCAGTGTGCAGGCACAGAAAAATGCAAAGCCCAGCTCTGGAGAGAAAATGGACAAGCTTAAACCGTGTGCTGCTGTTCCCCAGCTGTAAACTGGCAGTGAGCTGGATTCTCCATTCTGTGAGAGGGTGAGGAGACTGAGGGGAGAGGGCCTGGCGAAGCAGCAGGGGGTCACACAGTGAGCTTAGCATGGTGCTTACCACATAAATGTTGCTGGTTTGCCTTTTCAACACAGGGTCTCTCTGTGTAGCCCTCGATGCCCTGACACTCACTCTGTAGACCAGGCTGGCCTGGAACTCACAGATATCCACCTGCCTCTGCCAGTGGTGCACACCTTTAATCCTAGTGTTTGGGAGGCAGAGGCCCTTGGATCTCTGTCAATTCCAGGCCAGCCTGATCTACCGAGCGAGCTCCAAGGACATCCAGAATGACAGAGAGACCCTGCCTCAATAAATAAATACGTAAGTTTGAGAAAATAAAAGAGAAAACAACAAATACTGTCTGTTTTCTCTTGTTTATGGCTCCCAAATTTTATATGGTCACATAAAATAATCTGTGTATACGTAAGATAAAGGTAGACATGAAAAGGGATAGGAAAACGGAAAGGACAATGGGAGGGGTACAGGAAATGGGGTCTATGCTCAACACACAATATATGCCTGCATGCAAATATAAATATAACTGAGCACAAAATTGTAAAAGGTGCTTGGCATGTTGAGGATTAACTAACATGTAATTCCCATGTAAAGTCCTCCTTAAAGCAGTACTTGCTCAGCATATGCAGGCCAATAGCACTGTGTGTAGAACCTGGTGTGTTGTGCAGGAAAGCTGGGCCTCGGGCTACCTCACCTCCTCACTGGCTTAGTACCTTGTTTGCAGAAGCAGACCCAGAGAAAGGTGCGCCCAGAGCTTTCCCACCCCAAGGAACAAGGAGGCTGGTGTTGGGGAGGGGTTGATACGCCCCTCCCTGTTTATCAATGATTGGAGTTTCTTCCGAGGCAATCAGTTCTCATAGTACTCCTGCCTGCCAGAGAAGCGCTGATGGCTGGGAAAACCCTAAGTCCCAGGAACCCAGGCTCCGGTAGATGGACGTGCACTCAAGTGTAGAGAATGGGCAGACGCAGGCCCAGTGCCAGCAGCACACGCTACGGAAGATGCCTCACTTTTATACTCCCCTCTGTGAAATGGGAGCAAAAAAACCCATCTCAGGGGCTTGTGTCTCTATTCCTTGCTATAACCATGTCTCATTAACCTGGGTATATTCATCTGGGTCTGATCGGGAGGAAGAAAGTACAGAGTGATTTGGGCAGAGATGGTTTAGGATAACAATTAGTAGCTGTAACAGGAGACTGGACTAACAAAGGATGAGAAAATTCTTTTAAAATATAAGAATAGTTGGGCACAGTGGTAGGCAACTGTAATCCCAACACCCTTGAAGTAGAGGCAAGAAAATTGTGAGTTCAAGGCTATCTGGAGAAGGAGGAGGAAACTAAAGTAAGTAAAAATAACAACAACAAAAAGGTTATAGGAGTAACCCATACAAAGAATAATCACTCCAGGGCTGGAGAGATGGCCCAGTGGTTAAGAGCACTGGCTGCTCGTCCAGAGGTCCTGAGTTCAATCCCCAGCAACCACATGGTGGCTCATGTGGATCTGTTGCCCTCTTGTCACATAAAGTTGTACATGCAGATCGCACTATGCACATAAAATAGGAACATACATCTTAAAAAGTAGCCATTCCAACCCAGGGATGAGGCAGGGCATACAAAGAACTTCTGTGCTGTGCTCCAGACCTTGCTAGGGTGGAGGTAGAGGGACAGAAGGACAGCCTCTGCCCATATCTGCACCACAATTTGGCCTTACAACCTCATAATGCACAGCATGGATTTTCTTAACATCCGATTCATGATTATTTTACCTGAGATTGGCCCTTGTTGTACCTGCAGGTTCTGTGTCTGTGGATTCAGCCATATGGAAATATCAGGGGCAAAGAAGTCCTTACTGAGCAAGCATAGGTATTTTCTTGTTATCCCACATGCCCAGAACAATGCAACAGTGATCTGTAGAGCATTTGACTGTATTAGACAGTATATATAATCTAGAGATGATAGTGGACAGATAGAGGCTAGAGGTATATACTGTGACACTCTGTAGGGAACTTGGGCACCAATCCCTGGTGGGAGCCTGGCACGGATACCATGTGGATACAATTGCACTAGGCATACCAGGTATTTAAGAACTATAGTAATAGAGTAACTTTATCCCATTGGCAAAAACCGATACAAAAATGTGTTTGTGTCTGGCACACATATCTGGTGTGATAAGATAGATGCAGAAGCCCTCCTTCTGTTTCAGCAGCACTGGGATGCCCTTTTAATGAGGTCCTGTCAGGAGAAATGGACCAATGAGGAGATGAGCCCACATCTGGCACCAAGAGAAGGGATGTGTTTAAAATAAGACTTGGTCATGGGCTGAAACACAGGCTATGGGAATATCATTCTCTCGGGTCACCTTTTTTTTCCAACCCCAACTGGTCAGTGTGGAGAGGAAATCACCTTCTTTTGTTTCTTACTTCCAACTCTGCACAAGATGAAGCTATGTGTAGTCCCATTCACCTCCTCTCTCCAGCCCTGTGCTTCCTTCTCGTGATGGGGGTGAGATGACTCTCACTGGCCCAGTCAGTCACTGGGTTGTATCTGATCAGTTTCGGAGGTAATGGCAGAAAGGAAGGCATCCCCTTCCTCCTGCACAGTGGACTTTCCCCTGCTTCCTGGGCAGGACCAGTTGTCCCCCAAACCATCTGATTCTACCCAGGACTGAGGGATAAAATAGATCCCTATCTGCAACTGTCTGTAAGTTGCAGAAAAAGGGAGGGGCCCTCCTCTTTCCCACCCCAGACCTTCCAGCCACATCTCTCTTTGCATGTTATGAAACACCATGATATCCTTACAATAAACTCACTTTTTATTTCGGCTAGCCCCAACTGAGTTCATGACACTTGTGAACACTGGCCCTAGTAACAGGAAATGAGAAAACTTGGAACAGGTAGAGTGACAGTAAGCAGACCTTATTTCTGATGGAGGAGAGCACAAAAGACAGAGTCCCAGTCACACATGGGGACCACTGGGAGCACATCTTACCTGAGCAATGCTTTGGAACCCAGCTGAATTTCGTGACTTCAGAATTAATAAAATCCCAAAGTCAGGTGGCCGGAAGCAATATTGTCACGGTCAAAGGCAGACTAGTGTATCACTGGACAAGAGGGCCGGATCTGGAGAGTAGCTCCCTGGATCATAAAGGGAAATTGGAAGGACAGGGTGTCAGTTGTATCTTTTCTTCACACCCTGGAAAAATAGACTTCCGTGTCAAGACAGTGCATGTGGGGAAGGTTAATCCCACCAGCCCCTTGTCCTGAGTTGGAATAAGAAGTCTCTGTGGATACCTGGCTTCTCCCGATCCCTCAGAGGTAGCAGCAATCATGAAGTCTCCCATAAAAACAGTCCAGCCTCGTCCTTCTCCTCCCTCCTGTCATAGAATCTCTACCCACCCCTGCACTGCCCAGGTCTCCCCTACCCACTCCTGCATTCCCTGCATCCCCCTACCCACCCCTGCACGGCCCTGGGCCCCCTCTGTCTCTACTTACGTTCTTAGGTATAGAAATGGAACTATGTCAATGCCCACTCCTCTGTCATCTTGGACATCACTTCCTAACAACGCCGCCCAACTCTCTCAGTCCACACTGGGTCTCTACCTGGTATTCTCACAACTCCCCCGTGCCTCTCCTCAGCCTTATCACTGTGATCACGTGTTTGGGGGAAGCTTGGTGTCTGCCTTCCCCTACTGGACTGTTCTTCACCATGGCAGAGACTATCTGGTCTCATGGTTTCATGTGTTCCATAGCAAGCCTGAGTCTCAGTCTATTTCAGCCGCTAACTACACTAGATGACTAAGCGGAGGACCCCACACTGTTGTAGAGGCTGGAAAATCTAAAGCCAAGGTGGCTGGTGAGGATCTCTCTCTCCTAAACAGTGGCTTCTCTGCATCCAGTGGGGCAAAGAGGATGACAAACTTCCTCCAATCTCTTTTACAAGTGCAGTGCCTTCAAGATCTTTTCTCCCTTTAAAGGCCCCATGTTAACACTACAGCATTGGGAAATGGGGTTGTTATACAGGTATTTTTGGAGAATGCAAACATTAGAATTATAGAAGCACATAATAAATGGCTAAATATATGCAGACAGGCAAGTCTCCAGAGTCATGTGATGTTGGCTGGGTTTGAACACAGATCCAAGAAGAAGGAGAAGGAGTAAGTGTATTCTTAGGAGCTGTCAACAACTGGATGGAAGGATTAACAACAGTGCCTATTTCTAGGGTCCAACATAGAGCAGGTGCTCAATAAATCTTAGCATTGTGGCTCTTAGTCCCATCTTTATGAATGAGAGGGTGCAGAGGCATGTGTAGACACAATTCAGCTGGGGTCACTGGTGCATGGGTGTGCACTGATGTCTTGGGGCAGCACTGACCTCTGGGAGTGTCACCCAAACAGAAGGCTTAGCACAACACAGGATTGTGTTTCTAGAGAGAATCAGTCTAGCAGCTATGTGGCTAGTCAGAGCATGCTTGCTCTGAGCTGGGTGACTTTGGAACTGTGCCCTATTAATGTAACTAATTAAGTGACTGAGGATATAAGTAAGTGCTATCAGAATTTTGTTATCAAATTGTCATCCTAAGGTAACCCATTTGGGAATGATGGGGTGAAAACATCTAAATGGATAAGTCTGTGGCATCAAAAATGAACCTTCAAAGGGCATATTTCCTGTGACCTGCTGTATGGGTGAGTTTTAACCTAGAATCACATATGATGAGAGTCTTAATGAGGAATTATCTAAATCAGGTTGGCCTGTGGACCTGTCTGTGGGGAGCTGTCTTGTAGTTAACTGATATAAGAAGACCCAGTCCATCATGGGCAGCACCATTCCCTAGGCTTGGCCTGAACTGCATAGGAGAGGACAATGCTAGCTGAGCATAAGCAGAAAGTATACAAGGATGTATTTATTCTCTTTGCTCCTGATTGTGGGTATGACGAGACTATATGCTTGAGTTCCTGCCTTAACGTCCCCCAATATGACAGATTGTAATCTAGAATTATATGCGGAAGAAACTCTTTCTTCCCTAGCTTGCTTTTTGTCAGAGTATTTTATCACAGCAACAGAAATGAAACTAGGGCACCTCCTTTCTCCAACGAGGCCCCATCTCTTAAAACCCTCAGCACCACCCAACAGGCTTCCCTAAAGTTCCTCTGATGGCCAGATTTTTCCTGAATGGTTTTTGTGGGACTGTATATATGTTCAAGAACTTCATTTGCAGATAAACCCTTTCTGCTGGTGGCTGACATGTCTCTATCTGGGTTTCAACATTGTCTCCTAACAAGACATCGTAGGAAACCACGCAACCTACCTGCTAATAGGGCAACATCGCTTAGCCTCTCATCCTCAGAGGATATTCACTGGAAGAAGGAGCCACGGGAATCTGAGAATCCCGAGGACAGAGTCCCAGTCAGGGCAGGCTGACATTAACCACTCACACTTGAGAAAGAAAAGAACACCAACCTCAACACTGAGGTCAAAATCCCTTGCTTTTTTTTTCCATCTCTGTTCTTGATTCTTTGATTTATTTTTTTAATTATAGAGTATGCCATACCAAAATAGGTTTTAAACATAGACAGACCACCTGAAGAAGATAATGAAACCAAACACCAAAGCCCATGTGCCACAAGCCTGGGCTGAAGCCTTCAGTGTCGCAGACAGTCTGTATGTACGTCTGTCCTCTCTCATCAGACCTGCCCTACTAAGGTGACTACCATCCTCAAGTTTACCTTTATCATTCTCTGTGCTTTATCATTTTACATGTGCATCTCTAAATTAAACATCACCAAACTGTTAACGACATTTTCATAAACAGAATCATACAATAGTGGCCCCTCTGTAACCTTCTTCCTCTCGACATTGAATGTTAATGTTCAACATAGAGTAATAATAATATGTATGTAGTATAGTAGTAATGTTTTAATATATAATAGTAAGGTTTTAATTTTGCTTCTTTGGTTTTGTAAAAGTCTAACACAGTCTCTATTATACTTTGCATTGGTGTTTTGATTAAATCTATTATCTTCAATATTTTAGAAAATTACACTATGGATGTTTTCATGTATACACTTCTACAAGGTACATGGTGGAGGTGAAATCATGAACTCACAAATATACGTATGTGTTCAATTTTGCCAGACAACTCCAGTCAGTTCCCCAAAATGGCTGTGCAAGCTTGCTTTCTCACTGGTTACTACACATCTGTTGTGTGGCTTTGGGGGAAGAAGCAAAAGAAACAGCAATTCACCCCCAAATGGAGACAGAGCTGACAGATTGGAGAATAAGACTATCACCTCCACCTTAATAAGTGAGTTTATTCGTATCACTGACAAAAGCATTTTAGTTTGTAACACCAAAAAACCCCACCCTTCACTTCTGGGGCAGAGAGGAAGAATGGAATCCCTGGAGAAGGTCTTCTCCCCTCCCCAAGAGGGAATGTTGACAGACCTTGCTCTCTGCTGTCTGGTTTCACTTTTAGTGGGCAGTGACTGCGGGTCAAAATCTCCTGTCAATCACCACAGCTCCATGGTGGTGGCAGTCATGTCAAACCAAGAGCAAACAACCCTACTCCAGGATTCCGATGTCGCCAGTTGGCACTGTGTCTTCTTCACTTGGGGGTGCTTTCAGGGTCATGTAGTGGCATCTCATTGGGGTTTTCCAGATGCTCAGTGGAGCTAAGTATTTCCATGAGTTCATGTCTTTTGCCCACTACTGGGTTACAAAGCACAGATTTTAACACTCACAGTCAGCTTTATGAAATGTCTTCTTAGGACATAACTTGTCTTTTTACTCTAGGAGATCTTGTAAGGAATGTGTTTTTAACTTATTTAGCTCTTTTTTTACTGTGTGTGTATATCATGATCCCAAAGTTACAGGGACAGCCTATGAACTACATCCCGAAAGTTCTATTTGCGTCCCCCCACCCGCCCCGTTCAGTTACTTAATTAGCATGGGATTTATTTCTAATAGATAATAAAGAATCAAATTCCTTTTTTTCTTTTAGTAAGGGTAATCAATTTTCTCAGCACTACAGATTGCCAATCCCATTCTTTTCCAATGGTCGGCAATGCCCACTGTGAGAAGATTGGAGTTTCCATGTGTACATCACTTTTTTACCTAATTTTTTTGAGTCAGGATCTCACTAAGTAGCCCTGGTGTGAAACTCACTGTAGAGACCAGGCTGACCTTGAACTTACAGAAGTCCACCTGCTTCTGTCTTCAAGTGCTGGCATTAAAAGTGTGTGCCACCAGATCAGGCTCCACACCACTTCTTTCTGGGTGTTTCCTTTAGACCATTATCCTTTGTATCTACACCATCTTAATTTAGATTGCTTTAAGATGAATCTTGCTACCAGAAAGAAGAAACCCACACCCAGCTCATTCCCCTTATTTAGAAGGCTCTTGGCCCTTTGTTATACTATGTAAACGCTAGAATTGCCTTCTCAAGTTTCAAATCTCATTGGACTTACATTGAATACAAAAATCGCAGTTTGGAGAATTTATATCTTTATAATGTAACATAGTGTGTATCTAAACATGATATATGTCTTTATTTAGATCTTAATGTAATGTATTTCAATAATGTTTTAGAATAGTCTTCATAAAATTTTTCATGCTTTATGATGTATTTATTTTCTAGACACCTTTACATTTTTGTTCTGAATATGAATGGTTTATTTTAAATTTTGCAACTGATTGCTATTGATGTATAGAAATTGAATTGACTTTTGTATATTGACTTTGTATCCAGTAACCCTGTTCAAGGTCTCGTTTTTATTCTAGTATCTTATAGTTTCTTACGTTTTTTTATATAGTCAATAATAGATCTTCAAATAATAATATTTTTCTTCTCTCCTAAGGCTTTTACTCCATGTTTAATTTTTAAAAATATGTGTCTTGGTATGAAGAACTGGAGAATGCAGTAGTATAATCATCATTCTGTCTGTCTATCTATCTATCTATCTATATTTATCTATCTATCTATATTTAACTATCTATCTATCTTTTCTTTCCTTTCAGACAAAGTCTCCTGCAGTCAGGCTGGTTTCGAACTCTGTATACAACCAAAACTAGCCTTGAACTCCTGATCTTCAAGCACCCACTCTCTTACTCTCACTTTTAACAGTGAAGAAACTTAGCCT